ATACATATAAACCTTCCTCTTGAATTACTCTATCTATTAAAAAAAACCGCATTAAAATCCGTTGCGTAGTTTTAAAGATCTAAGCATACATAGAGACAGACAGCGGGGGAAATGCGTTGCATGATTTCGTTACATAGCAACTCGCATGAAACGAACTTACCCTACCGTGCGTAGTAGTAGAAGTAGCGAAGTTTCACTTCAAAAAGGTTCGAAACAAAAAGAAAAATCAATCTGATGCAAATGAATAGAGGGGGTCCTGAGTTTTATTTCAATTTTGAGTTTGAGTATTCGATAAAAAAATTCAATTTTACAGCTGTTGGTATTGACTGAGATAATTGTTAGGGTTCTGTACCTCAAAAGAAAAAAGGAATCCTGTAGGATCACTTCCTTCTCCGTTTTTTTTTTAATATAATTTATATACAATTTGTACTCTTCTTCGGATAACAAATAAGAAAATATAATAAAAACTTCTCCCCAACTATCAATAACGTCATCAAATCAAATTCAGTATAACTTAAATCTGCACATTTTACTGCAAAAATTGAGTCCAGAATATTTATTTATTAGGTGTAAAGTATACAATAGCATACGGATACGTATATTTCAGTGTCCAGAACGTTTCAATGCAGGTCCGGAATAACTGAACCTGTCATTGGCAGAATTTGTTGCTTCCGTTAGAAATGAAAAATCACGCGGAGGGTTTATGAAAGGACAATGAAACTGGAATCTTGGAACAGACATGAAATTTGTTCCTGCCTCTGTATGATATATTACAGCAATCTAAAACTCATTCTAGAAGTACGGATAAAGTACAACAATAAGGAATTCCCATCAGGCAGAAAATAAACGTCTAAGATAACGGCATGAACTATGTTGAAAAAAAAATTATCGTCACTTCTTTCGTCGTCACAAAACTAACTTCAAAGTAGGAATTGAAGTATAAAATTGAGTCATATTATTTTTATAAGCTTTGCTAAATTTCAGACGATTTAATAAATGGGATGTTATTTAACCCTTTAAAAGAAAAATAAAAGATCCATCAACTTTTCTTTTCTTTTAACTAGTCCTGCCCCCTGCCCCCGGCCATTTTTATTGCTCCTCTATGACGTAGTGTCGGCCATCATTGTTTTCTAATTGTTGCAGTTGTCGGCCATCTTTTTTTTTCAATTGTTGTCGCATTGTTACTTATGTCGGCCATTATGGTTTTTTAATAGATGTATAGTAATCAATGATTAAAATTTAAAGGAATTGTTTGTAAATGTATGCAACACATCGTACACTTCAGCATAAGAAATTGCTGATACTAACTTTCATTTGCTTTGTCCTGTGCTGACAGCACTCATAACATCTACATCATCATCATCATCATCATTATTTCTGATGGTGTTTCTTGATAGCGTGACGTGTCGAGCGAAAAAATGTTTATTTTGGTGCTAAGTAAATGAATTAAACTCTGTTGTGTGCACCTACCAATTCTTTTTTTAATTATTTTACTATGTGACTTCCTAAAACTAATTTCTAATTTCTCATTACAACTTCGACGTATTCTAAACCAATGTCACTCTCATTGGATAAAATTCATTTCTTCCTAAACTTACTTTTTATCATCCCAAGTTTTATGTGACGTGCTCCGGAATGACATGTATCGCATTTCAGGAAGCTTCCTCAAAAATCACGTATATTTACCGACCCCTCCTAATGGCATACTCCTGATGTCCTTATATTTTATATCTTTATGTCTTACAAGCACGCAAACATCTGTCATCACTCATATTTTATAACGAAATTTGCTTTAAAACGTAAGCAGAATTACTTTATGCTTTCGTAATATATAACGTCAAGTTTTACTTCACCATTTATATAACAGCATATATTCAAATTAATATAATTAGTCTTCTGTTAATTATTAACTAACCATACATTATTAATGAGCAGTATACTAAAAATATGTATTCAGTGCTTCATCACATGCTATAAAATTTCAACTGTTATGACGTTGAGGGTAAAAGGTATTATACAGGGTGTTTTTTAAATATGTTACCTAAGTAAGATACTCTGCCCCATTCTAGCAAAATTTCAAGACATATTTCGAGCAGATATTTACTAATAATCGTAGTACTTGAAAATGTTTAACAAGGTGTTACAAAGGTATTTACTAAAGATGGACCGGGTACCCGGTTTGGATCCGGTACCAGCGGATCCAACACAAGCTTTAGGATCCGACAGGATAACAGATAAGGACGGGGGGAATCCGGCAGTGCCGGGTAATTTTACCAAAGACAACAGAAAAAAACTAACACTAGCTATAATAATGTAATAAATTTGTAATT